AATTACAATGCCAAACAATGTGGAACTGCTTAACCAATTGATAATTGTTGTCAATTTTTCCATAAATTATTCTATAAAAGAGCATCTAGAATACCTTTGGATGATTGTCATAATGTACCATATACTGTTCCAAGCTTTTTACATTAATTCCTTTGATCCTCATGGCAACAATGTGATAGGCACAGTTATTATTCACATTTTACAGATGAAATTTGAGGTACACAGAAATTAAGTCCAAGGCAAGATATAAACCTTGGCATTCTGTCTCCAAAATTTTTAAATATGATGTTAATATTGCCTCATTTATTAAATAAGCTCAGAATGTCTTAAGGACATTCTGAAAAGGATACACCACCCATATAAAATCTGTAAATAATATATACACAAATCAGAAACAAAAATATATCAGGGCTTTACAATGAAATTAAAAGGGATGCATGGAACAACTATTCCCTCCCATTATTTAACAGCAAATTTGATATAGCAGGTTCTCCCATAGTCCAAATAATAGTATTTATTTGTTTGTTTTATTTATTTTTTAATCTTTTTTTCCCCTCCAGTTGAGCTCTCACTTTATCACCCAGGCTGCAGTGCAGAGGTACAATCATGGTTCTCTGTAGGCTTGACCTTTTGAGCTCATGCAATCCTTCTGCCTCAGCCTGGTTCTACAGACATGTGCCACCATGCCTCGCTATTTTTTTTATTTTTTATAGAGATTAAGTCTTTGCACGTTTCCAGGCTATCCTGGATTCAAGCAATCCTCATGCTTTGGCCTTTCAAAGTGCTAGGATTACAGGCATGAGCCACCGTGTCTAGCGCTCAGCACCCTGCCATATTTTTTGTTCTTAATTTGTTTTAACCATAAAATAAATACCTAAGAGTACTTTAAATCTTGGTAACTGGATTAGTCAATAGTAAATAAACAGTATTTATTTGAAAAGTTTTAGCAAGGTAATAGTATTATACTTCGCTTCTAATCATATTCTTATTGCATAAATATCCACAATATAATGATAATGTTATATGAAATTAAAATAAAATCAAACTTTCCATCGTCTACAATAATTTCACAATTTTAGGTTCTGAAACTCAGATAATAAATGTCAAGCTGTGAGTTTAGTGTACCTATCTCCTTAATTGACACCTAAGCTACCAAGCAGTGATGCTCAAGTCAGTTGGGAGGTAATTATCTGCCATCATATTAACACAGATCACAACAAGAGCAAATAGATAATGAAGCAAAATAAGAATTGCTTGTTAAAAAAAATCAGATTGACACTTTTCTGCAAAAGGTATGATTAATGAAATTAGAATATTTTATCATATCTGCGTTTTAAAAAAATTCTTTCCCACAGTTCAACTTTCCTCACAGAATTCAACTAATAAGGGTACATAATTTTATCACAGTCTATGGAACAAGTCGACATACTTTCCTTTTCTCTGAGCTTGACTTTTATTATATCTGGAGAAACAAAAGTAAAATTAGAAGCCTGTCATAACATGAATCATTGTATCATGGATTCAGAAATAACACAAAAAAAGCAAGTCCCCAAAGCCATTCCTACATCCTGTAAAAGCTCTATGTTACATAATTAACCTCTGTCCACTGAAAAACTGGTTGCAAGAAATGTAAAATCCTATTAACTTATACAAATTAGTGCTTAAAATGCAACTCAAAATGGATTTGTCTTTAAAATTATAATTTTGACTAAAGGCAGAAGTGTGTAATGGCTTTGGAATATAAAACCTAAGTAGATGAAAATATATCACTGACACACATCAAGAAACCCCATTTAACCCAATATGTATAAAAATAAGTTCACACTTTCCCAGCCTTCATAAAGTATTGAGTCAAACAAGAAACTAAAAAGATTCAAAACAGAAACCCAAAAAGAATAAATTAAAATACAGAATCAAATAATATATAATAAAAGATGTAAGTAATAATGAAATAATTTTATCAAAAAGTTTCAACTCTCTCCCCAACAAAACTTCCCCAAAACTGTAAGCAAAGAGCTCAACTGACTAATTTGTGTTTTACTTCCTCTATCCAATTACCCTCTATTGGAAACACCCATAAAATGTGCCATAGTACAAATGTCGAAGATGTAACCTCAAAAACATTAAAATTAAAGGATTAAATGAGTTAATATTCAGTATGTACCTAGCACAGTGTATGGTACATAGCAAACAATAAATGGTATTATTATAAAATCATTTGTTAATATTAATAGCATCTTCCATTTGCATAGCATTTCTTCACAATAACTTCCTAAACTATAGAAGATTCTTAATAGTTTGCAGAAATCACATTGATTTTCAATATTCCTGGATGTCTGTAAAATTTGAGTAAGAACACAGAAAAACTATAATGATTCATCCAAAGAATTAATACATTATTTGACTGTGGAAACAAAAAATGTTTTAAGGCAGTTGCATTTACCCTTAAGTACAGCTAAAAAATTTATGCATGTAGCACACACATTTCTATAAGTCACTAATTTAACTAAACTCTTGAAATTATTAACTTGTTGAACAATATAATTTGCAATTTTCAATGTATCTTTTTTTTTTTTTTTTTGAGTCAGGGGCTCACTTGTTGCCCAGGCTGGAGTGCAGTGGCACAATCACAGCTCACAGCAGCCTCAACCTCTTGGGCTCAGGTGATCCTTCCACCTCAGTCTCCCGAGTACCTGGAACTACAGGTGCACACCACCACATCCATCTAAAGTTTTCTGGTTTCTTGTAAAGAAGAGGTCTCCCTATATTATTTAGGCTGGTCTCAAACTACTGGGCTCAAGCAATTCTCCCACCTCCTTCTCCCAAAATGTTGGGATTACAAGCGTGAGCCATGTATCTTTAACTACTTACTTTCGACTTTCTGAGATCAACCATTAATAATACACAATAGTATATTCCACTATTCTGGAATTTGATTAAAAATGTTTATCAGAAATATATACGCATGATTAAATATAAAAGGCTTTTCTAGTCAAAACACAAGAGATTCCCCACAATGTACAAAATATTTTTTAAAATCTGCTTGTAATAGAAATAAACAATATACATTATACAGGTGACATTTATGTTCCACAAAATAACCCCAAAAGATAATTAGTAAGACATGCGATGCTGATGAAGTCCCATTTTCTAAACATCCACCATTGAGACAAATCCATCTTCCAAGTCTTCATCAAGAAAACAAAAGACAACAGAAATAAATCTGCTAATAAATGCAATGAATGCCATCTGTTATGTATAGTAATCTACAGGGAACTGAGAAAAAGAGTAAAATGAAGACTCGTCTTACTTTGTACTCAGGAAAAGAGCATGACAGTTCCTCAATTTAAGTATCCAGGTTTCTTGAAAAGTATTCCTTATATAGAGAAGGGGTCATTCTTAAGTTTCTACCATAATTTTGATGATAAACCATCATTAAAGACTTTCCAAGTTCCCCTTCTTTGATTTCATGATTACTACACAGCCTCTAGTTATTAACTTGGCTTCCCATGGTCTTGGATACAGTGCGCTGGATTTTCAACCTGAAAATTCTCATCACTGTCAGGGGTTATCTTCTATTCCAACATAAACTGGCATTCTAATGTGTACATTCTAATGTATATAGCATTGAATTAGGGTCCTGAATTCTAAGCATACATGAACAAAAGTATACACATTTGAGCTTCTCGGGTTGGAAGTATGAGAACCAGACACTTTTTCACCGACAACTGCTACAATCATTTCTTGGTTTTCATTTTCCTGTCCTTGCTCTAAAAAGAAAAACGACAGTCAAACCAAATTAGGGGAAATCCATGCAAACACCAAAATGACTAATGAAAATCAAAGTAGCAACCTAGAACTTAAACCAAAACATAGGATGCAGTTTACACAGCCTCATTTACATTAATAAGCTATTCCCAAAAGCTTTAAGGTAAAGTCCAGAAATTATTTTGGAACTTACATCAGCCAGGAGCATTATTTAGAAAGTGGCCTGGCCCATGTGTGACTCGATTATTACCAGACGTTAAAATTTTTTAAAAGAGACATCCCATCTGGTGCAGAGTAGCGCAGCGACACTTGCACTTGAAGTGCATACCTGTAGGGTCTTCAACTGGTAACTCAGACTTTTCTCACTAGATCATGCAAAAGGAATTGCATCCTTTCCTCAAAAACTCTCTTTTCCTCACCCCAAAGCATTCGCCCTCACACTAGACTCTCCAGTCTTTCAGCTGTGACCGCTTAGGTTTAAATCTATAAACACAGTTTAAATTTATAACGAGGAGGAGAAACCTGCACACCGAAACCTCAGTTCGCCTAAAACAAAGAAATGTCTGCTAGCATCCCTGGGTCTACAGGGCAGGCAGAACTCTCTCCGGGCCGGGATGCCGAGAACTCCCACTGCCACCGAGATCGCCTTGGCCACCTCCGTCTCCAGGAGACAGCAAGGCCGCGGGGACGCGCGAGGATCCCGCAGGGGGACCCGGGCGGCGGCGGGGGGAAAGGGTGAGTCCCACAGGGGAGCTGTCCTGGAAGGGAAGACTTTGAGGACGTCTAAGGGAGAGGCGGCTAGCTGCAGGGAAAAACAGACTTCTCTCCAAATGACGCACGGGTTTGAAGAGCAATCCAAAGTGACGGAGGCTAAAAAAAAAAGTGACAGGAAGCCATGACCCCCTCCACGGCCGGAGAGGGTTTAGAGAAGTAGACGGGGAGAAGGGGGAGGAGGGCGGCGAGAGCAAGGGCCCCAAACACCACGAATTGAGGGGGACGCACCCGATCTATGAGTCTGGCCTTCGTCCGAATAAAGTGACGGTCTGAGAAAAAGACCGAGCTTAGGCGCGCAGAGGGCGACGCGTGGACCACGGCCACGAGCCCCGCACGAGAAGATGTCGCCTCTCTCTCCACCCTCTCCGTGCCTGGCTTTCCCGCTCACTCGGGCACCGGCGGTCTGCGGGCAAAAGGGCGGAAGCCCGCAGCCCCGGAGGACGCCGAAAGGAAAATACCTGAGTCCCAGGAAGCACGCCCGCAGCGACAGGAGGAGGAGCCGTGGACAACCGGAGCCGGGGCAGGATTCCAAACTAGCTCCGGTCAAACCCCAACTCTCACGGGCGGGGCGGGGGAACTTCCGTCCGGAGCGGGGCCGGCGTCACATCCGCCTCGGGTCTTCGCCGCTCCTCTCCTTCCCGGCTCTAGCGGCCTGCGCGTCGCTCTGACTTCCACTTCCAGGCGACGTTCGCCGAGTCCTAACACCCGACGGGGAACTACGCGACCCAGCATCCCCCACGGCACGTGGGTTTCCGGGTCAAGAGGTCCGCCCGGGGTCCATCACCATGGAAGCGCTCGGTTTGGTCACGTGGTGGCCCTGGTTACGCCCGGTGGCCGCCGTGGGGTCTGGTGCTCGAACGGGGGCCATTTTGCGGAGGGCTGCCTCCCGGAGCCGGGGGCGGCGGGGCAGCTGGCGGAAGCGGTTTCCTTTTCCTGGTCTGCGGCCTGGGGCTTGAGAGGAACTGGAAGGCTGGGCTCCCCCGAGCCCTTCGGAGACGGCGATGGTTCCCTTCGGCCACCGCCACCTGACGCCCCTCCATGGCGGCTGCGCCCTCCGCGCTACTCCTGCTGCCGCCCCTTCCAGCCGTCTGTGCCTGTCGCCTCCAGAGCCGCGCTCGGCGTCGTCCTTCCGCTCCAGAGACCGGTGGTAGTCGAGTCGGGGGCGCCATGAGAGGAGAAAAGAGCTACTACTGCCGTGGAGCTGCGGGAGACCACGGTTCCTGCCCCGCTGCCCCTTCGCCCCTGGCCTCGGCCCTGTTGATGCCCGCGGAGGCCGTCTCAAGTGGCTGGTCTGGGTCTGGAGGCGACGACGAGGAGACCCGGCTCCTTCAACTTCTCCGCACCGCGCCGGATCCTTCCGAGGCCTTCCAGGCTTTGCAGGCTGCTTTGCCGCGGCGAGGCGGTCGACTCGGCTTCCCCCGACGCAAGGAAGCCCTGTATCGAGCACTGGGCCGAGTGCTTGTGGAAGGAGGCAGCGATGAGAAGCGACTCTGCTTGCAGCTCCTCTCGGACGTTCTCCGGGGGCAGGGGGAGGCAGGCCAGCTGGAAGAGGCCTTTAGCTTAGCGCTCCTGCCTCAGCTGGTTGCCTCCTTACGGGAAGAGAATCCAGCTCTGCGGAAGGATGCCCTGCAGATCTTGCACATCTGTCTGAAACGTAGTTCTGGACAGGTACTGAGAACGCTCATACAGCAAGGACTGGAAGGGACCGATGCCCGGCTTCGAGCTTCCACCGCACTGCTACTCCCCATCTTGCTTACTCCTGAGGATTTGTTGCTGGGCCTGGATCTCACCGAGGTGATCATATCCCTGGCCCGAAAGCTTGGCGGTCAGGAGTTAGAGGAAGAATCGGAGACAGCTTTCTCTGCGCTTCAACAAATTGGGGAGCGGCTTGGCCAAGACAGGTTTCAGTCCTATATCTCTCGCCTGCCCTCTGCCCTGAGGAGGCACTACAATCGCCGCCTGGAGTCCCAGTTTGGAAGTCAGATTCCTTATTATTTGGAACTCGAAGCCTCTGGAATTCCTGAAGATCCCGTTCCCTGTGCGGTGACTCTTTCTAACACCAATCTTAAATTTGGAATTATTCCTCAAGAGCTACATTCAAGATTGTTGGATCAGGAAGACTATAAGAACCGGACGCAGGCCGTTGAAGAACTGAAGCAGGTGCTGGGAACATTTAACCCTAATTCTACCCCTCATTCTAGTCTTGTTGGCTTCATTAGCTTGTTATATAATTTGTTAGACGATTCTAACTTCAAAGTGGTCCATGGCACACTTCAGGTCCTGCATTTACTGGTTGTTCGCCTTGGAGAGCAGGTACAACAGTTCTTAGGACCAGTTATAGCAGCTTCTGTCAAAGTGCTGGCAGACAACAAGCTGGTGATCAAACAAGAATACATGAAAATTTTCCTCAAGCTAATGAAGGAAGTAGGTCCTCAACAGGTACTTTGTTTACTCCTGGAACATCTCAAACATAAGCATTCCAGAGTGAGAGAAGAGGTAGTGAACATTTGCATCTGCTCCCTGCTGACCTATCCCAGTGAGGGTTTTGACTTACCCAAGCTGTCTTTTGATCTTGCCCCAGCTCTTGTAGATAGCAAGCGCAGGGTACGCCAAGCAGCGCTAGAGGCTTTTGCTGTGTTGGCATCATCAATGGGCTCAGGTAAATCCAGCATCCTTTTTAAAGCTGTGGATACTGTTGAAATGCAAGATAACGGAGATGGAGTGATGAATGCTGTGCAAGCCAGATTGGCCAGGAAAACCCTACCGAGGCTTACAGAACAGGGGTTTGTGGAATATGCAATACTCATGCCATCTTCTGCGCAGGGTAGGTCAAGCCATTTGGCACATGGAGCAGATACAGACTGGCTTTTGGCTGGTAACAGAACGCAGAGTGCACACTGTCACTGTGGTGACCACATGAGGGATAGCATGCAAATCTATGGATCTTACAGTCCAACTGTCTGTACCCGAAGGGTATTAAGTGCAGGAAAAGGAAAAAATAAATTACCATGGGAAAATGAGCAACCTGGAATCATGGGAGAAAACCAAACCTCCAGTTCCAAGGATATAGAGCAGGTATGCTTCTCTAATTTTCTTGAGTTGAAAATGTGAAGAATTTTAAGTGAATAATATGCCTGTGATGACTTTAAGGTGAGGCTGCTTGAGGATTGTTGTGTTTGTTTTAAATCAACTTGAATAGTGATGTGGGTATTCATTATTGTGGTACAGTTCACAAAGGACCATTTAATAGTCTTCCTGCTTGATGGATTTGTTTAAATTTGAGGCCCGAAATGATAAAGGCAATATCTAGATCTCAATTTTAGTTTGTCTCTTTGGCATGTCAGTTACCTCACTCACACAACAGACACTGACCATCCAGTAGGTGTCTGATAAAGTGCTGTTTTGGGAATTAAGATGACACCAGTTCCACACTGGAGAAAAGATCAAACTATACTGGCAGTTAGCAAATTTCCTAAGTGCTTAAATAGAAATATAAACAGAGGCCTGTGAGCATACTGAAGATAGAAAAAAAATTCCACTAGAAAAGTCAAAACCTTCAGGGAAATGTGAATTTGAACTGAGATTTTCCCCCTAAAGCTTTTATTTATTACAAATCTGGAGGAAAGTTAAAAGTACAATAAATACCCATATTCTTCGTCTGTGTTTACCGGTTGTTAACATCTTGCCACATTTACTGAACCATTTGAAAGTAAGTTACAGATATCTTGACATTTCGCTCTTAAATATCTTGGCATGTATCTCCTAAGGATGACATTCTCCTTTATAACTATAATATTATCATGCCTCAGAATATTGGTAGTAATTTGGTAATATATGGTAGATTGCTTGCATTTAAATTTCTCCAATTCCCCCCAAAAGTTTTACATTTTTTGTTTTGCTTTTGACATCCACGATCCAGTCAAGGTTCATGTAGTTCATGTCTAGTTTATCTAAAATAATACCCTCCCCCCACTATTGTTTGTTTATTTTTTCACGGTATTAGCTTTTTTATTTCTTAAGTCTGAGTCTTGCTGTATCCCCAGGCTGAAGTACAGTGGCACAATCATGACTCATCACAGCCTTGACCCTCAGGACTCAAGAGATCGTCTCACCTCAGCCTCCCGAGTAGCTGGGAATACATGCACACGCCACTGCACTTGGCTAATTTTTTTGAATTTTTGAAGAGACAAGGTCCCACTGTGTTGTCCAGGCTGGTTTTAAGTGCAAGCTCAAGCAGTTCTCCTGCCTCAGCCTTCCAGAGTGCTGGGATTACAAGCGTGAGCCACCGTGCCCAGCCGACTTTTTTTTGTTGTTGTTGTTGATTTGGAGTCTCACTCTGTCGCCCAGAGTGGAGTGCCGTGGCCGCTCCCGGCCACCGCAGCCTCGCCTCGCCTGCCGGGCTCCGGCGATCCTTCCGCCTCAGCCTTCCAAGTAGCTGGAACTACAGGCGTGAGCTACCACGCCCGGCTAATTTTT